ATACTGATATCAGTATTCATACAGTCATCATTTACTGTACTGTACTCTGTGTGTGTGTAGTATATTACTAGTAGTAGTATTAGTATTACCAGGAGTAAGATAATATCAGGATATATTATCTTACTCTTATACCTATTATCTTACCTTATCTATATTATCCTGCTATTAGTAATTCTAATAGTGTACTGTAGTCTGTAGGCCTATATCAGTACTATATCATGTATATCACTAGTACTAGTACTAGTACTAGTACTACTACTAGTAGTAGTAGTACTAGTAGTATCAGTACTACAGTACCACTCTCAGTCTCAGTCAATCACTCTCACTGTATAAATACCTTCGTGATCTAACGGGAAACTACCCTTGTCTGGTGCTTTTGGATTAAAGGATTTCTGTCCAAACGTGTTCGCGGCCATTAAACGGTTCTACACATCATAATATCCTGATAATATGCCAATAATGGAATTTTAACAAATTAAATTCGTGCACATGTGCCTGTGGAGCGCGCTGCCATCCATGACGTCACTACAAGGAAGAACATATGAGCATTCACTGTAAAAATAAGTTCCAATATGTCTGCGCCCGTGAGGGCATGGGGAACTCAAGTTCTCAAACTGTATTATGCAAATTTGAACTATTCTCTTGTCAAATTTCGCATAGCACGTAGAGGATCGCAAATAGGGACGTTTAGATATTGCTTTTTGGCTAATATTCGTCGGACGGTAAGTGCTAGTGCTAGACTCTAGGCAAAATGAGACGATGTGTATACTCAGATACTGTTACACTCACTGTCGGCGCTGACACTTAGATACAATGTCAATAATTAATAGTGCGTTCGATTTGCTTCCCCAGAGCCGCCTGGGTTGACCTAGGTACGAAATCGAACGCATCTTGGTTAGGGAAGATAAACGAACGGTTTTTGGGTTAAATCGGGTTAATTATAATTATAATATTAATAATAACAATTGCAATCTTATTATTAATGAAATCTAAGAATGAGGGGCTCAAGGATAGAGAGCATGTCCAGTAATAAACATCATCCTATCCACTCACCGTCCTTGAGCAAACACACTGTGTATGCAGGCATGTTATTCTGCATCTTTTGTGCAATATGCAGTGCACAGGTAACATGGCCTTGGGTTTGTTTGGCAGTTTGCTACCACGTGACCTTCAGAGATGCCAACCTTTTGAATTAATTACTTGGCAACAATTATTTCTTGTGATTGACAAGGATTGGCATCTCTTTCATTGCAACCATGATTATTTTGTTTAATACCAATAAATCGAATAAGTTTTAAGATGATAATAAAGATGATAATTTTGTAATATATCTTTGCCAGAGCAGGAAGTAAACCTAATTTATATTGACCTTCTGCTCATTATCCCATGAGGTACACCATGATGCTGAATCCTCCAAAACTAATCCCTTCTTCAGAACATTCTGCTCTCTGTTAACAAATGTAGCCATCACTGATCACAAATTATTTTCCTTTTAACTGATTAAATAAGTAACTAATAATGGCTTTATAAGCCGACTTTTAGAAGGATAATCTGATGCATTTCCATTTATCATATTTGTAGGTGGTATAGGACCATCACCGTGCATGTAGCAGAGTAGAGTATACACAGTGCGTAAAGTACAGACCTTTTCCACTTGGTCTTCAGTTCATCCTTACGATCTTGCATAATCTTTCAGCAATAGTGAATCTTCTCCTACATAAGAAACGTGCATGAATCAAATAGTGTGGGCACTTTTCCAGCAGCATGTGATGAAACATTCTATGTCTTGTTCGAAGGGGCATTCCCCACTAAGCTGCAAGACTAAAGTCAATACGTTTTACAGATGCATGGCCTTTCGATATATGGCCGTTTCTTGGAACGTGTTGTGTGTGTGTGTGTGTGTGTGTGTGTGTGTGTGTGTGTGTGTGTGTGTGTGTGTACATATGTGCATGCGTGCGTGTGTGCATCTGTGTGTGAGAGAGACAGAGTGTGTCTGTGCCTGTGTCTGTCTCCTTTCTCTCTCTCTGTATGTGTGAGTGTGTCTGTGCGCGTGCGTATGTGTGCCTGAGGCTGTGCGCGTGCGTATATGTGCCTGAGGCTGTGTGCGTGCGTGTACGTGCGTGTGAGCATTGAGCAAGCAACCTGTCTGAGAAACCTGGTTCAGTGTCTGAGCCTGTCATGCCGCTACGAGTCAGAGTAAGAACATATCAAGAGCTAATAATACCTATTCTGCATTATTAGCTCTTGAACATATGCCATATGAAATATTAATTATTATATGGCAGAGAAACTATAGGAAGGCTGTAGGCCAGTCGCACATCACTATCAGTAGTATCACTATGCACAATTCCCAGATATGTTCACGATAGTGACTAGTGAGTAGTGTTGTTCTCTGTTCTGCGTAGGAAGTGACTATATACGCACGGCGGCCGTGTGGATCCGATTCAATATGGCTATACGCACGGCGGCGACGGCGGCGGCGACTTAATATGGCTAGGAATGAGGAAAGGGAGAAGGGAGAATTAAGCTGGTGGAGAAGGAGGAAGGGGAGAAGGGAGAAGGTGGTGGAGAAGGAGGAAGGGG